CATTTGGATATCCAGCTTACGCATTTTTCCACCACCATTAGGCTTCTCTTCATCAACAGCTTTCCTCTTTGCCTTCTTAGGTCTTCTTGGAGGCCTTCTAAGTATAGATTATAAAATAAAATATTTAAACATCATGAAATATATAGAGCAATAGTCATCAAAGCTTTCATGACCCACACAAGCAGTGTTGCAAGTTTAAACAAAAGGTCCCCACACATAGAATAAAGATGCGTGGCCCAAAACACAAGCAAGAGCATTCAATCCCACTAATTGATCATATGAATTGTATAGACAAAAAATAAAAAAGAATAAACTAGTAACAAACAAAACTACAAAAACTTATTGTATTTGGGTTGAATTTTCCACTTTTATCGAATCATCCTCTTAATATGCATCTTGAATTTTTTTTTTTTTTATTCCAATACTTAACAGAACTTGTAGAGAAAAGATTTAAAATTGTTACTGCAAATTCCCAAATTACGAAAGAAACGGTTGTAGAAGGTGGGAGGCAAATAATAGGGTTTCCTAAAAAGAAGATTCTCGCAACCTGCCACTTATTCTGCTATTTAAGATTTGCAATTTTTATTTTTGCTGCCTAAAATTTTTTTAACAATAAAAAAGATATTGTTTTCCATATAGGCGCCCTGTAAGTCAAGTTGGCCACTCTGGTGTTATGTCAACATAAATAGTGCCACATTAGCATAAAACATAATAGAATTGACGAACGCGGGCGTGACTTAACAAAAGTGATGAATGGATGGAAATTAAACTAAAGATGAGTGACTACGTTTACAAATTTCAAAGGAGAGTGACTAAATTGAAAGTGATGATAAAGGTGAGTGACTATTCATATCGTTTACCCTAATATATATTACCTTATGTTATGTTCTCTTTGAGGTATAAGAAGAAATAAAAAGAATATACAAATGAGCTTATAGATATAAATCATTAGCATATCAATCTCTACTTATAATTCACTTCTTCACCTCAAATCAAATTATCAAAATAAGTTAAAAATAGACAAAATGCAAATGAAAATAATTAATAAATTATTTATATATGTTAGTTGTTTACACTAAAAAAGACATCATTCCATGGATGATAGATTTTTTGAAAAAAAAATAGATGATAGATTTTTAAATTAAATACTTCATTTTTTTAATAGTTTTATTTTAATTTTTTTGACTTTTTTATATAAAGTTAAAAGTTTCATTTTGATACTTTTTGTTTATACTTTTATGAATAATATTTAATATTTAGTATTTAATACCATTACAAAATTACTTATTAAAACATAATCATTTTTAATTCAATTACATCATAATTTATAATACTTTATTTAAATCTAATTTTTTTTGTTTATTTGAAAATTTTATAAAAAATTAAAAATTCATTCGTTTATTTGAAAATTTTATTAAAAGAATAAAAATTCATTCCTTCTTAGAAGCTGCTCCTTA